CTGAAACCTAGATTACGCATCTTAAATTAAACGTTTTACGCGAGAAACATTGCGATAATTATTGCGGTATATGAATTCAAACGGAGCGCGCGCGGAACGGTAAACGTAAATAGCGCGCGCGTTAAACAATTAATTATAATGAAAAGAATGTTCAGTGAAACACCCTTCCTTGTTCCTCTTCTTTTTTTATTTGATTTCACGTTTCTCATTTTACAGAAGCGAGATTACCGAAGAAGGAGGGGCACTAATGGTCCAAAACGTCCCATCGCGTGTACTGATCCCTCCTAAAGCTCTGCCAACATGTACCGAGGTCACATGTTCTCTATGGAATCAGCGGATTCTATCACCACCCCTCGGAAGAAATGAGGCCTTAGTGAGCAGTGTGATGGAACTAGCCTGTGGAAACCTTCCTGGTACAGAGGAACGTTACGAGTTCAATGTGAAAGTGAAGGTGGCTTTATCCCACAGTGCTAGTGACATTAAAGGATACGAATTGGTGATCAAAGAATTGACCAATGAGAAGACCAATGATTGGAGGGACTTGAAAACCAGATGGGCTTGGACGCCATCAGGTAGTAGCTATGTTGGTAATTTACAGGGTACAGCCATCCTTCCTTAGACAACTTGACCTCTTTCCTTGCACGAAACCACAAACAAATTGACTGTATAAGAGGATGCATAGGCTTTGTATTTCTTTCTTATAGACTTAGTTTGTAATTGAAGTTGGTCGTTTTAATGTTCATCTTTATCTTGTGTGATTGTCCTACTGCCACTTCAGCTGTTTTACTTCTTCCAGTATTACAATCATACTTGTCAGAAACAAATTTAAAGAACTGTTTGTAAAAATATGAAGCTGAATCAACGAAGATGTAGGATTGAAAATAGAGGTGTTTTTTTTTTGTCACGAGGAAAGTGAACAACACCTTCTGCCTCATTACAGATATCAAAGATGAGCATTCTGGCGTGGATGAATTCCCAGACTGGTTATTTCCGTTTGCAGAGGCAGAAATTACGAGTTTTTCTTCATTTGCGGTGGTCTGGCGTCTCAAGTCTTTCACGTTTAAAAACCCTTCGACTTTGTCATCTTCCTTTCCCTGCATTCTGTCAGACCATCCAGGAGTGAGTGTAACATTCCCTGAGAGTTCTCTCCCAACAGGACAAACCTTTGCTCTTACTGTACAGGTACTTATACATCCTTTCCACCAGAATATATCCTAATAATTTACATATTAACATTACGTTTTTGCTGTTAAAGACAAGATTTTTGAACACGAAGGTAGACTTATCAGCCTATGATTCGATAAGCACTCTCTTACCTTCAGTCAGCGACTTCTGTGAGAGATGATTGTGTATTCAGTTTGCTTTAACGACTCTTTATTAAGTTGGTGCGGCTTTAGGTTTTCATTAGTACACATAGTACAGTTTCATCTTTCTTTGAAGGTGCAAGAGGTTCCATGCAGTAATGCTAAACTGAAAGAACCACTAGTTGTTGGACCTATCCTTCACATCTCAACTTCTGAACCAGTTCAGCTTTTAGCACCTGCTAGGCTCACAATCCCTGTTACGCTCCGGGAAGACATACCCAAATGTCTGGATTATTCGGCCACTGACGTCAGGATATTTTGCCGAACCTCTGAAGAGGATGAAAGAGAATGGAATGAAGTCACAGAGCAGTTAGAAAATATAGCGGTTCTTGAAAATGGGACAGTGACGTTTACAGTAAATCACTTCTCATTGTAAGTATACTCTTCTGACTGTTTTGAAAGCAGCAACAAACTGCAAAGCATTCACGTGGGTAGGGTCGTGGTAAATCTTTTGCAGAAAAGACATGCATCATTAGGTGACATCAGGGTGCACAAAACTACAGAAAAGAGGAAAAAAACCAAAAACAAAGGAAACCAAACGACTAAATTATTACTCTAAATCCAATTCGTCATCTATAGGTATTCTTTACAAACCTTAATCGAGCTTTCAGGGATCTCAGTTTATTACACAATTCGCGGTGTGACTCGCTTATCAACGAGATCTCGTGGGAGAGCGATTTGTTTTGTCCGCCCTTAACTGACGTAAACGTAGGCATGGTACGCATGCAAAAGATTTTTTTTCCATGGGTGGGTTGAAATAGGCTTCTAAGTAACTGATGTTTGTATTTTTGTAAAAGAAAAGAGCCTTTACTTTCAAAAGATTCCAATGAAAATATCGATCAGTGGAGAGCAAAGAAACCTTCCAATTTATCCAAAATAAACTCAGACACACGTACTTTATAGTCTATTGCCACTCTTGTCTGAATAACTGTTGGAAAAAAGAAACTGCATTGATGTCACGCTTCCTGTAGTGTCATTCCCCTATTGCACTCTTTCCTTCGTTGCGTGACGAGACCAAGCAACGGTCTGTTCGCAGGCCAAGGCAATGGTTACTGCCGTTCCTTCGTCAGCGAATTTGATTGATAGCAAATGTGCACGTGAGAATTGCGTGGAAAACTGACTAACCGTAGCATTTAGTTCCATGAGAAATTTTCTAATTCTAACATGTTCTACGATGTGAAATTTTATTATACTGTTGTGTTTAGCCAATGAATGCAATACCTTCGAATGAATTGTATTTGTTTTACATTTACCCCACTATTCAATAGCTGTTCATGCATACTCTGCGGACAACAACTATCTTGTGAAAATAGCAATATCAGCGCTGCGACTTACTGAATTGACTATTTAAGCTGTAAAACCTAAAAATCACACTACTCAATCTCACACAAGTTTGCACAACGTTTGAAGACCTTTTTTTTTCCTTTTCTTAAATTCTTCCATCTCAAAAAAGAGCTCGTGTATAGCGGTGAAAGGACTTGACACTTCCGATTCAAATTCGTACTTCCGGTTCAAATGCCCCACCCCACCCGAGGCAAGGTTAAAATTCCCACCCACGAAAAGGCCTTTTTGATCGAATTCTCCTCCTTCTCGGGCACGAACGTCAGTCAAATGTCCGTGGGTTGTCCGGGAGGGGGGGTTGTTGAAAGTTGAAGTGAAAGTGAAGTGTTGAAGTGAAACTTCGAATTGATCGGTGCATTAGCAGTTAATCCGTAATTCTACGCAAGAGATTATTTGCATATATTCTCTTGTCCAAAGATGTGCGCCCTCTGATTTGATCATGAATGATCGGGAATACTCTCTTAACTTTAATGACTATATGAATAGATGTTGTTAAGTTTGTGTCGTTTTCCCTTAGGCACTGGGTTTTGATTGACCGATTGAAATTACCCTTTGTCACCCTAAAGAATGCTGCCTATGACTTCTGTAGAAGACTGATGTTACAAGAAGTAGGATTTTTTGCTCGTTTATATGCAACAGGAAATCCCACGACCTACGTGCTGAATCTTTACTGCTTCCCACTCCATCTTAGAGAACAAGTGCAAACTCCTCTATCTCCAGATCTTCGCCGCGTTTGTGCTCAAGGGGGAGGAAACTCGCTGAAGCCACTGTGTAAAGAAGATTGGATGTCTGTGTCTCTTTCCGAAGCATTTACTTTGATGCAAGAAGTAAATCTAGACAACTTCTTGAAGTGAGTTTAGTAATTTTTGTTCATCCGATTTCCATTGTGTCCGGCAACTTGGAGTAGATGTGTAAGGAAAAACATATCTTTTGCAACAAATAGAAATACCTAGTATTTATATCTTCGTTTAATTTTTTTGGTGCTAGGTTTCTCGGAACTGATCATTTTGTACGAAGTTTGCGTGTATCCATTAGCGACCTTAGTAACCTGCAAGTAGAGTTGTACATGGAGAAGCAATCTCATAGGGACAAATTATGCACGCTGAATTTTACTCCGACCCTTCCAGATCAGGTATGTATTATGTGAAGTTGAAAATATTGAACTAGGGGATTAGGAGCTATTTTGGAAACGTAATTTTGAAGCTCTTACCCTTCGGCTGAGTAAATCTCAGGATTCACCCGCCCTAAAGATACCTCCATCTATCCGACCGTTTTACGGTCGTGTGATGAGTGCGTGACAAGGAAACTTCAGAGAAAATTAAATTAGCTCTTTCAAATAACTTCTTCGCTGTACTTATTTTTTCTATTTTTTCACCATTTTATATCGTTGCATCTATTTGGTACTGGTGAGGTTAAGGTAGACTCAAATTGCCACTGGCAGAGCTAAACTACTCTTCTTGTGGGATATCTAGTCAGACCGCCAGCTGCAGTCTGACTTTGCATATTGTTAGTGAAAATAAAATGAGGACGCTATCACAAGGGCGATTCTACGTCCCCGTGAAATCACGGGAATAAATCGTAGCAGAAATCGCTCTCAAAGCCGCAGCAAAAATCACCAGTGTGAATGGCCGCTAATGTAAAAGGTTTCCTTTTAAAATGACCGGCGAGCATCCCATGACATTTGCTCTAGAGTCTCCTCGGCTTTGAGGGACTCTAGCTTGGTAAAGGCACAGGGTATAATGTATATCCTTAGAGAGTCAGATAAACCAATTGACAACAATTTTTCAGTGACAAGGCTAGAGAATTGATAGATAGAAATGTCGGATACAATATTTTTTCTAAGAAACTAAGTTTCTCTGTTGCAGACCTCTTCTCCTAGGAACTTGCCTTCTACAGCACAGGTAGTCATGCCTGAGCAAGAGGAAGATCAGGTGAAAAAGGCAACGTTCTAAAATGTTAAAGGAATAGCTGCAAGAAATTAAGAAATTTCAACCGACCCTTTAGATATCCACAGTTTTCAATGAAATATGTCTTTATCTTTCCAGATCTTTAACTTACTTGTGAATCAAACAAAAATATTTACTTGAAGTTCTGTGTTATTTAGATTTCCCTCAGCTTATGTTAAATATCATATTCTATTAGATGTGTCGCCATCGAAGGAAAAAAATGGTAATAATTGATCATTTGATTTTGATGAAGTCACGAGCTGAAAAAAGCCTCCCACAAGTTTACTAGTTTTATTAGCACTTTCCAGTCTTCGTTTAAAGGTATCAGTTCATTAAAATTGGTCATGTAGTCTGATCGTCCGGGTGAATGTAGTCCTGACGACCCTGGGGACTGTTGTTGGTAGTAGTGACTGGCGTTTTGACAAACTCAGCAAAAGTCATAATCAGACGGTCCTGTGAAGGGTTGTTGTTAGTCGATTGTTTTAGGTCCGGTTTGTATAGACTGACTGGTCAACGAATGCACACCCTGATAGATTCAGTAGGGAACTTTAAGGTGGGTTTTTAGGTAATATAATTTATCGCACGTTTCCAGAACCCTGTTATGGTATTTCAGGTTGCGCTGGAATTCAGCACAGCTTTCCCCTCACCGAAAGCACTGGAAGAAACAGATTCAAGTATTTCCTCAGAAAAAGTTTTGAATGTTACAATCTTAGCAGACGAGTGGAATTCACTGAAAGGTGGATTATCGACGTTTAACAGAGAACTTGCCATTCATTTAGCAAGCTGTTCCGACACTAAACTCACTGTATTTGTTCCTCACGGTGCATGTGGAGAGGAAGAAAAAGCAAAAGCTGAAAAAGAAAAAGTTAGTATTATTGAGGCAGAGGAACTCATCTCGAGCAGCCCCCACGAAGAATTGTTCTTTCCACCGGAAGACCTTAAAATTGATGTAGTAATTGGTCATGGCGTGAAGCTTGGTCGACAGGCTCAGAATATTAGACGATCTAAGAAGTGCATGTGGGTTCAAGTAGTGCATACTGCTCCGGCTGAACTCGGTATGCACAAGCGCTATTCGAATGCTGTCACACAAAGCGGAGTAAAGAACAAGCGTGAGGTTGATCTATGCAAAATAGCTGACCTTGTCATGGCAGTTGGGCCTAAATTGAAAGGTTTCTACTCAAATCAACTACGCTCTTTCGAAAAAGAGCAGGATGTTGTGGAATTTACACCGGGAATTATGAGAGAGTTAAATGGTGTGGAGCTGTCGCCATACGAGAACCACGAGTTTCAGGTCCTGATGTTTGGGCGTGGTGATGACGAAGACTTCGAGCTAAAAGGCTACGATATTGCCGCTGGGGCATTTGCAAGTCATGAGCTGAAAAACGACTCCTATCATCTCACATTCGTTGGAGCGGCCCCAGGAAAAGAAGACGAATTTGCAAAGAAGATTCTTAAACATGAAATGTCTAAAAACCAGCTGTCTGTCGAAGAATATATCAAAGATAGAGATCGATTAAAAGAGCTGCTTCTTCGTATGGATCTGGTTATCATGCCTTCAAGAACAGAGGGATTTGGACTCACGGCTCTGGAAGCCTTATCCGCTGGTTTGCCTGTCCTTGCTGGCCATAACTCAGGCTTTTCAAAAGCGTTGCAGAAGGTAGAATTTGGAGAACTCTGTGTAGTTAACTCCGATAAACCCGAAGACTGGTCAAAGGCGATCAAGAAGGTCCGTCAAAAGGAGAGAAAAAAGCGGCTAGACGAGATGCAACAACTGCGGAAATCTTATGGACAGAAGTACAACTGGGCAGAACAATGCGAGATTCTTGTAAAGGAGATGAGGAGAAAAGTTTTTGGTAGGCAGCTTCTTTTTTTTCCTTTCCTTCCTTGCTTTATTCAAACCTTTGACAATTGAAGCAATGACTTTTTTTGAGTCTGCTTTTTATTTGTTTTTCTCTTTTATTGTCCATTTATCCGTTTTTCTCGTCATTCGTTTATTGATTCATCGATTTGTCTTTTATTTATTCATTCATTTATTTACTTACTTATTCATAAATCCGTATTCTTATCTATTCATGCCTAACTCTTTCTCCTTCCTTCTTTCCTTCACTCATGTCTTCCTACCTTTTTATCTCTTTCCTCTTTCCCTTCCGGCTATTCCTTCATCTCTTTACCAATATTTCTACTACTACTAGAAATCAACTTACATTCTATAATATTGTAGATTTAAGCGTTTCATTACTCTCGTAGAACTTCAGAACATCGACAATAAACCTACGAAGACACCGTGAGAAGTAAACACTATGGTGATTCAACTCAGGATTTTTTACTACTGAAGAAACTTGACAATTAAAGTCTTTTTAAAATTTTTTATTTCATTGTATTAGCCAGGAAAACATTTACCCAAATTAGGCTTTGTAAGATCACCAGATTAGATGTACATATTTTAGTTTTTATATAAATTTCTCAGTAGTTGTTAAAAGACAAAATTGGCATCTAACAAGAATTTTCCTTATAGGTGTTTTTTGACTTATTTCAACGTGGAAAATGAATGGAAATAATATATTAGCACAAGCCATTCAGTAAAAATTATAATAAGCCAGTCAATCATTTCCTATTTCTTTTGGCGGTCTCATCTTACAGGTATAATTTAGCACGCTCGACACCTCTTTTTCTTAGAGGTGTCTTAAGGTGTAAACATGTAGCACTTTTCATCTTCCGCACTGAATTTATAATCAAGTAATTTATACGAATAGCACGTTGCTCTTTTAGGGCCGGTACCTTGGGTACGCCCTTTCTTCTCCGAATTTTCTGTTTATTCTGTCGTTATGTAACAGTCCTAAAGGGCTATGTTCTCTCAGGATATGTCTCCAACTTTGATTTTACTTCTGTTAGTAAGTTTATTATAATTTTTATATTACCAATCTTGTTTTTCTTTCGCCCGACCTTGACCGTAAGATTAAGAAATTTAAGGTAGAAAGTCATTTTTTAAAGCACAGGCATCGCGAAGGTACCTACTTAGTATGCGAACTCCGCTCTGCATAGCTTAGCGAGATTCGCTAGTTAAGTGTAAAAGCATGACGAAGGTTAGAGATCGACAGCTCAGTAAGCGTCACCTTTATAAGCAGTGACCCATACTTTCCTTGTTAGATCAGAGCTAGTCTCCTTTGTATTATCTTGCGTAGAAAAAGAGTGAATAAAGACACGGACAATCGACATGTGTTAGAGTTCTCTTCTAACATAGTGCAGTACTGAAGTTTAATAGTCAATGGTTTCACTCAGAGACCCGAACCAACAGTTCAGAAGAAAGTATGTTACTCATAAACATTAAATGGAAATTGTATTTGTTTATATTTCCCGTCTTTTTTTGACGATAAAGCTGTGCAACTTTATCATATTTAAGCTAAAAAGCTCTTCTTCACGGAAACGAACTATTCTTTGTACGTGGGGATCCGTCACATCTGTGTGGAGAATTGTGACTCAGAGACGCGAAGATGTGGTATAATGTTCGAGTGGTGGAGCAATTTTCAGATAAGTGTCCAGAGTTATCCGGGAGTTATCGGTCAAAGTGCGCTGTGATTGGCTTAGACAACTCACGGCAACTAATTTCAACCAATAAGATGCAAACCAAAAACCATAGTTACTTAGTCACTGATGTTTTCTGTCAGGAAGTTTTCCTTCGGGTAGTTTGTGTGTTTTTTATTTTTATCTTTTTTAACTTGGAGTTTATGACGGTTTCTTGGGATATCTTTTTTCTGCTTTAATCGACGGTTGTGATTAGACACCCAATCCTTAGTTATATATATGTCGTTTTCCAGACCAACGCACTATAGCTGACACTCTAGCGGTATTTCGGACAACATCTACAGGGATACGCCTCACCAGCCGGGAAAAAGCGCGATCCTCAACAGTATGCGAATAACAAAAATCAGTGAAAAAAGATTGACGTTTGTGCGCTGCGGTAGTTCTAATTTTAACTTCATTGCGCGGCTGGAGCTCCATGAGTAAAGTGCTCAAAAAGTAGTAGTCGGCACATCAAAGTCAAAATTAGAGCTCCTTTGGCGCGCTAACGTCAATTTTTTTTTCGCTGATTTTTTTTTATTTGTGCAACAGGTAGTCGTGAATGGTAAAATTTCCCTTGATGTAGCAGTAGAACAAATTACCCCTCACGACTGAAGATTATCTGTAACGGTCGAATTGGCCTCGTCTCTGTTTAAGCAAGATGAACCTCTTAATGCAGTGATAGATTTACCTTGAACAGAATGCAGTGATGAGAATTTGACGTGGAAGTCTTTTTCTTTTTTCTTTTTTGGTTGTGTGTTACGCGTTTCTTTATTTTAAGGTCAGAGGCAAGCTTGATGCCAACAGCCTTGCTGTCATGGATTACCAAATGAAGGTATAGGTGTAATTTCGGTAATTTCGGAAGTGTTCGAATTCTCCTTTCAGTCATTCTTCGTGTCAATAAAAAGATCTGCGCTGAAGTTCCATCACTTTTAAGGATAGCATGGAATGTTCTGTAAAGAATCAATTAAAGAAAAGAATAAAGATTTGTTTTTGTAAAATACGTTGAGAGAATATCATTAGCATTTAGACATGTTGCGGATAGCTTTATTGTGTGTTTCTTGTGGGATTTGCAGGAGGTGGATCGTTACAGAACAGCAATGAGAAAGATGGCAGCTGATCTCCTGCATGTGCGAGAGGATTGCAAACGTTTAGACGCGATTAGTTGTTGATTAATAGGAACCGTACTGTTTTAGTAAATAAATTAAGTGTAGTAAGATGAGTTGATAATTTCAACTCGTTGTTTGCGCAAGTCCAGCCCAGCGAAAACGTTGTTTTCATTTCAACCACTTTTTTATTCTAGAAGGCTTGTGTGCCTTGCGATAAATTTTTAAATTATTAAGGGACGATCAGGTTATAAGAGAAAGTCCCCGAATGAAGGCCTTCATTTATTCTTAAGGTGATATTTCTCGAGCGTTTTTTTAGATCACTTTTGAGGTTGGAAATTCTGATCGCGTATGGTGAGTTTTGCCTGTGCGCGCAACCTATGGGACGAGTAAGTCAAGAAGCCGAGCTTGAATAAGCTGCACTGTACAGCGGCCTTAAGTTTGTTTTTAGTTGTAATTGATCCTTTCAGGAAGCCAACAGTAAGCTGAGGAGAGAGTTGGGCCAACATGACGAGATATCCAGGTTAATGGTCAGCTCCAAAGACTTAGATAATGTGACACATTCTGAGCTGGTACAGAAGTTTGGTAAGAGTTACTGTACCTTTGTTCTCGGCCTCTATGAAACACAACGTCGCCGTTGCCTAAAACAGTTACTGTTAAAGTTTTCTTACTTCTTGAAAGTCCTATTGAATTAAAAGTAGCTTACACCAAAATAACAGTCTTGAAACTTTTTGTGTTTTACTTGTTGGGCAAAATACATTCCTCTTCTTTCCTTGTAGCCCGTGTCCTTGCACTTGTTCTTGTTCACATGTTAAACCCTGATTTTTATCACAGATCAATGCTGTCATTTTTTGTTTGCATAGAGCAGTCGTGAAAATCAAGACTTCAGCACCTTCAGAATGATCTTATCAAGGTGGCTTTATATTGTCTCTGATTTACTCGTGAGATCCGATAAGTGATTCTCGTGCAGGCCTTCTAGCTGCTATCTCCTTCCTTATCGCCAGCTTGTTCGTTAACGTTTTGAAATTATTAGCAATGACATGTCTAATACTTCTATACACAAAAGGCTACGTTTGAAAGGGTAATCTCACCCAGAATTTGAATCAGATGTACTGACGAAGTTATATATTTACAGAAAAATGAGATGGAGAAGGATTTTTTGAAACTACAAGAAGCTCACGATGGGCAACAGGCACTTCTGCAAAAGTTGCAGGTGCGTGAGATGTGCTATAACAAATAGATGTATAATTTTGTTAGTTCTTGTCGCATTTGAAAAAGAAGTGCTGGTATTCTGTGAACATAACTTAATTCAACGTATCGTAACATAGCTCCGCGTAATGGTGTCAACCCTAAATAACGTGCACTTCAAAGAATGCGGTGTTCATTCATAGTCTAGAATCGCCATCGTGATAACTTGCCGTACTTTTCTTGATGATATAGTTTCCAAGACCTGAAAAAAGGATGGAAAAGACATATTAAAGAAAAAGTGCTAAAATAATGCTTGTAAACTTTGTAGTGTGGTGGAATTTCTCCTATTACCCTGGTCAAAAAGTTCTTTCGGTGCAATTATAGAGTCCAATTTTCTTTTAAACTCCCACAACCACTCCACTGCTTCACTCATTATTCTGGTATTTGATTGTACTTGTGTCACCGTCTTTTGCTCACACATGTACAAACTCTATGTTTGGGTTGAAAAAACTGATCTCGAGTGTCTTCGCTGGCAGGGAAAGGTACAAAAGGCTCAGACGATTCAAGATAACTGCAAGAAACAAGAAAAGGTGAAAAACCATCCAGCGAGTTTTTGAGACTGAGTTGTGAAACTTCCAGACAAAAGGCGACAGTTCATGTTTAAATACACATTCCTTGTAGGTTACTGTACAACTCGAGCAGCTTTTGGCCCAAAAGGGAAAGGGACCATACAATGGAGGTGAGTTACCTTTGAAACGCACCTGTATATGAAGATGAATTACATTTGTTATCAGTTTATAATAAAGAAACTTGTACGAGAATGATTATAAAAAAATACTTGTGTTACAAGGGCGAGTCCAAAGAGGCAAAGTTATTAGTTTTCAGAGAAACTATTCCGTTGCAACGAAAGGAGTCTCGGTTTCAACTATGCACACAGAATGATTGTCTTCGGTTGGTAGCATAAAGCGAAACTAAATTGATAGCCGTTGGAGCAGAAGATCACATGCGCTCGGTACCTCATCCACACCTACCACACCCTTATACCCAACATGATGTTACTTATAAGGCAAATCATAAACTCGTCTTTATTCGACGATCGAAGAACAAAAGTTCTTTATTCGAAGATCGAGAAATTTTCTTAGCCATATACGTGGGGGTAAAAAAGGCAGATGGATGACGATTTTTGAGAGTGGAAATCTCGATCAGTCCATGGACTTCCCATTTTGTTCATAGGACAGTAATGATTACAGTAGTATAAACACTTTTAGGTAAAGAGGTGTAAGATGAGATCCATTTATTTTTTTCATTCCAAAGGTTTTATTTTCGCCGTTTACGACACGGCATTGCGCAAAAGTCTAATTGAATGGTCTGTTTGCAGAATGGACCGATGTCAGACATGGAACGACTGGAACTTTTTGAAAAACTAGAGAAAGCGGAGGGACGGATTGTTGCTCTTGAAAAACAGGTGAAGCACTCAGCTGCATTGCTTCACTTTTTGGAAATGTGGAGGTTTGCTTTATCTGACATGTCAAAAGGTGGTCGAAGTTTTATTATTGAATTGCCCATTTTGTCCTTTGCTAAGTCCAATCAGTCATTCGGGTGGGAAGACAAGAAAACTGTCTGATAGACAAATGAATAAAGGGGGTGAGTTTCTAAAGAAACTGTGGTGCTGCGTCGGTGGAAGAGTATAGCAGGTAATTTAGCGTCAACAACTGAGTTGAGAACGTAAATTGGCCACCGTAAAGATTTAAAAGGCCGCTGACGTTTCGAGCGTTTCTTGTTGCCCTGACTAAGGGCTAACGCTCGAAACGTCAGCCTTTTAACTCTTTACGGTGGCCAATTTACGTTCTCAACTTAATTGTGAACACTAAATTGTCTGTTAGACAGTCAGTCACGTTGGATGGCTGATTGTCGGGCGGTAGGCCGTCAGACAGACAGGCAGACAGACGAACAGACAGGCAGGCAAGCAGACAGACACTTACACAGAAAATAAATATTTGGTTAAAAAAAACTGAAAAAACAGCGCAGCGGTGTAATAAACTTAGCTCTAATATAGTTTTCTCGGTTTCCTTGCGTTGTCTCTGTAGTTGGCAGATAACGTCAGAAAATGGGCGAAGGATAAAGCCGACCTACAGGTGACTATTTTTCTTATTTTGGAGAGACAGTGTTGGCACATTTTTTTTTCGGACTAAGAAATCTTTTGGTCCACCATGTCTTAGTTCTTTATATCTATCAGCATTTTCAGTTACCTTTCTCTTCTCTTTCCGAGGCGTATATTGTTTTAAAATTATATAAAATACTGATAGTATCAGTTTTGCTGATGTTCCTTCCAAAATGAAAAGGAGAAGCTAGTGATGATCTATTGTTTGAGTAGCTTTGTGTTTTATTTACGCAGATGAAACTAAACGAAAGTCAGGTCGCTCAGAGGACAGGATACAAAAATTCGTCCACTTCTGTAGATATTTTGGACTGGGTTTGTATTAGTTTCTTTCTTCTTTTTCTCCTGGTAACTTTTGTAAGACTTCCAAGTAAGTGGTTGCAGATAAAAGAGAAAAACTTGTGTCTAAATGCTGCCTCAGATTTGTTGTGAGTGACCGTGATAGTGCTAGTATCTCACACACTTCATCCTCTTGATCTCAGCCGGGACATGAGAGCTCACTTTCTATCCTGTCTTTTTGTTCTGTCTTAACTAAGTGGCAACACACAGGAAATTTGTTTCCTTGAAGATCGGCTCGTTCTGCTGATCGATAACTAAATTTCTTGTTGTAAAACAAGAGGCGATTACCTCATGCATTTTTCTGTCTAGTTAGTCTGGCTGTTTCAGTTAAAAAAAACGTATAGGGGTGTATGAAAAGAGTTAAGAAAAGCCAGGGCCGAGATCTTGTGATGAGAACATTACCTCTCTATATACTATTAAGTCTTAAACATTTAAGTAGAAAACCTTACGTTATGAAATCCAGACCTTTAGGACCAACTGTAAATCCACCCCGATGTTTAGAGTTTTTATTATTCCACAGCATAATGGACCAAAGCCAAATTCACCTTCAAGACACTTGGGTCCGCGACGACCGTCACCTAAACTGGATCCTTTGGAGAGAAGATAGCATTTAGAACTTAGACAGTCTTAGCGGATGATTTCATGATCAGAGGACACTGGGCTCCAGCTAAGCAAAAATTATCCCGAACGCATTGATCCTTTCTCTCCAGTCAAGATCTGAATATTAATTTTCCTGACTAAACCATGCATTCTTTGTCGAGTATTCCTCGAAATTTGTTTTTATGTCTGGATAGTAATCCCCGACTTGATTTGAGGGCTTTTCAATTGAGTGTCGTATATCAAAAACCAAAGCAAGAAGAACTATCAATCAGAATCAAAGAAACTATCGCAAAGAGGAGCCAATGAGTGCTCGAGGCAAAAACAAGCAAACTGCCCGAAGAGCGGGAAAACGCAAGTCACCAAGTTGAGATTGGTGTTAGTTTTGCATCTGATTGGTTGAGAGAATGGCGCGAGTGAGCTTGACCAATCACAGAGCGACAGAAGTCGACTTTTGTGCAAGTTCATAAATAAAAGGTTTCTGAACACGATGAAAGAAAACGCCGAGGAGAGAATAACGATCGACGAAATGGTTCTTTCAGGGAACTACATTCGACGTTGAGCATATCCGATATTTGAAAGGCGACCTTGGATCTTCAGATAGTTAGACTATGAGAGGATGTGCAAACTTATGTAACATTTTAATGCTGGGAAGAGAGATTGATCTTTCACTTGCTATGAAAAGAAGGGCATAAATACACCTGTGCGAACATTGAAACGGTCTCAAGGCGGGCCGATATCTCGCTTTTAGGCGAATCTCTTTTGAACCGCTGAGCAGATCATAGGTTACATTTGTAGGCACGGCCTCCTTTTTCATGGCGTCTTGACAAGTGGAGGGGGACAGTGGGGCGGGAGCCCGGGAGAACAGGGGGCGGGAGAGGGCGGGAAGCGGGAACAGAAATAAAGAAAGCAATAATGTGTTGTTCATTACTGAGTACTGTTCAGTCAAAAACACTTATATAGCAAAGTTTTGAAATTTCCATTTCACATCCACCAATGCTTAAAAGAAAATTTTGGAAGCAAAGAAACGTAAGTTGGCTGGAAAAACAGCATTACCTCCAGTGAATTTGGAAATCTATTCAATTTGATTACGTCATAGGTCATGAGATAGCATGACACATAACACATGTAAACTTATACTTCAGTGTCAGTGTCTGGTAAGCTGTAACTGTCAAAAATATCCAGCAAAGAAAGCGATTCAGGGTCATTCAGGTCAAATGTCGTCAAAGTCTATTTTAATCGGCTTTAGTATTTTTCAGTGTGGAAACGAAATATCCGTGCATGGAAGACCTTCTTGGGAGCTTGCTCCGTACGACTGCACATTCCAAATTACTGAAGATTTTCCCTCATGGTGCAAACTTGTTTCAAAGGAATGCCGCTTCAGTGAGCGCGCCGGAGAGTGCGGAGTGGTTCTCTTTTCAACGCAATTTTTTTGAAAGTTAACCCGGGTTTCTGATCCTCTTGATTAACTTGAAGACGGGAGCAACACAATGAAGGGTGGGAGTCGGGAGGCAAAGGGGCACAAAAGTACGGGAGGCAAGAGACTCTGACCTCCCATGTCTTCTTTCTCCCCCCCCCTCCCCCCCCCACACAAAGCTGAATAAGGAAATGCAGCGTCACAGCTAAGTGGTCAATGACGCGGGCTCAAGCCCTTGAGGTTAAAAATTCAGCGAAATTTGAGGAGAACAATAGGTCTGGTATTTAAAACCAAGGTATTCTGTCGTAGTTGAAGGCATTTTCCTATTTCCAGTGTTTTTATGGAGAAAATTAATTTTTGAAAATATTTAGGGGGTGTACAAAGTTTTCGGAGGTTGTTCTCTAAAAGAAAAGCGAAAGGGAAACAACGCCCAGAAGCAACAAATAGAAAATCGAACGTGCACTGACCAGCTCCCAGTTGGCTTGTTAGCTCAATTGGTAGAGCGCTGCACCGGTATCGCAGAGGTCATGGGTTCAAATCCCGTACGGGCCTGAATTTTTTTCAGGTCCTATTTACAACTACTCGTTCCAGTAGTGTTCTTAGCTGCGAGGATCTCTTAATTTCAACTCAAAATCCGTTTTCCTCTTTTCCGCGCCAAAGCTTGACGCATGCGCAAATATTATTCAGCTGTGTCGGGCGATACTTGATCTTTCTGGGTATAAACAAATGCAATAAAGTACGCAAAATGGCGTCAGACGTGGATAGTCCTTTGGAATCTCCGCCGATTGCGGTATTTAGGGGATTGAGATTTATCTATTGGTGAAGGAAAACGTAGCAATAATAACCATGGCGTCTTCCAATACATCGAATGCCGGAAGTAGCCACCAGGAGCAGAGAGAGCAGAAGGTTCTTGATGTCATATTTCTCTGTGACGAATGGAAATCTTCAAAGGGTGGATTGTCAACTTTCAATCGAGAATTTGCCATTAATTTGGCACAAGCGACGACTGGTAGCATGAAAATTCACTGCTATGTCTCTAATAGCGATGATCGGGACAGAGAAGATGCTAAACAACATGGTGTCAATTTAATCACAGCTCGAAGTGTTCCTGGTTCAGCGGACCCCCACGAATGCTTGAAGTTTCCACCCTCGCAGCTCCCAAACCCACATCTGGTGATAGGCCATGGAAGAAAGCTGGGCATTCCTGCATATTTTCTAGCCCAGTCTACAAAGTGTAAATGGGTCCAATTTGTTCACGTCTACTGCGAGGATCTTGGGAAATATAAAGAATCTGCCACGGCTGCAGAAGATACAATCGAAGAAAACGAGAAGAAGCACAAGATGGAAATTGATTTGTGTAAAGCAGCGGATGCAGTTGTTACCGTTGGCTCCCGTCTACAACAGAAGTACAGCAGACGTCTCCTTAATGTTGAAGTGAAGATTATCACTCCTGGGATCTTTGGAAAGTTTTCCAATGAATCAAAATTGGCTGTAGACAGATCGGTTGTAAAGAATTTTAATGTGTCTTTGTTTGGCCGAGCTGCCTTTGAGGATCTTTCCCTGAAAGGCTATGATGTAGTTGCAAATGCCATTGGTTCTCTTGGTGAGAACTTTGAGTTGACATTTGTCGGCTCATCTCCCGGTGAACAACGAAAAGTTGAGCAATGGTTTCTTGACAACACGTGCATCAACCGCAAACAACTAACCATCCGTCGATATTGCAGTGAACAAGAGGAACTCAAGGTGATGTTCTATGAGTCAGATTTGGTTGCTCTGCCATCCCGTACCGAAGGATTTGGGCTCGTTGCCCTTGAGGCCATTTCTGCTGGTGTTCCTGTTCTTGTCTCTGGTGAATCTGGCATAGCTGAGGCTTTGCAAAAAGTAGAAGGTGGAAACACTGTCATTGTTGGATCAGGTGAAGATGAAGATGAATGGGCACGAAGGATCAGAGAGATGTATGAAGAAAGCGCAGAAGAGAGAGAAGCCAATGCTGTGAAGCTTCGCGAGAACTACAGGAAGGTTTACTCTTGGAAAGCAGAATGTGAGAGGTTTAAAGGGCTGATTGAAAATGTTGTGAAAACTGCAAATGGTGAGCCCACTTCTTTTAATTTTTCTTTTTTTTCCGTACATTTGCTGAAATGTCATGCTGCATGTACAAGCTAAACCTTATGTGTAACCTTATGAGCCACATAAGATAAACTGAATACTGGTACATGTAGATAAGCATACGAACAAGTAAAGTGCTCCTGTATGTCTGGAGTCGTTACATTTATCTCGACTTGTGGTTGGACCACAAGTGAATTGTCAACTTGATTTTTTTTTTATATTAAATAGAGGGGTCTGTATCTTGCACTAATCAGATTGCCACTGAAGAGTATGTATCTCACACCAATCAGAGTGCTGCATGAGGGTATTTATCTTGCACCAATCAGATTGCTGCATAAGGATATTTATCACATAAACTGCTGTGTTATGCAAGGATTTTTGGCTAAAACACTTAAAAAATCCTTATCGCTGGCAGACAATGAGGTTCAAAGTTTCCTAGAAAGGGAAGGAAACCAATATACTAAAGAAAAACCAAAAGTTGCGTATTCAGTGGCTTTGGTGTTAGCATTTCTCTCGTCTGAGAATGAAAATTGGCAACTGGAAGATTAATGCCATTAGCTAATTTTGGCTGTTTACCTGAAAGACTTCTCCTGTCAGTAAGGACAGCATTCAAAGTGCAATCAGAACATACCCGATAATAGTACTACATGAACATTAGGTAATTTTTCATGTTATAGAATTGTACTCCATCAATCAAATTCCATTTTACCTCATTAGACTTTGCTCCATGACATGTCATTTCCCTGTAACAAACCTGCATTTTATCATGTATTCTAACTGCATTTTCTGACACCGCTAAAAGAAATTCACACAGAACAAAATGGGATTGATAGTGAACTTTCCTTGCAATTCTCCCATGTTTTGAATTTGTCTACAAATAAAATTTGCTTTTAGCTACCTTGGACTTAACCCAATTGCATGTCAATTCATTGTAAACAACCTTCGTTTTATCATGTAATTCACACACAGAGGGCACAGTCTAGATAGGCAACAGCCAATCAAGGAGCCCTCTTTAAATTATTATCCTTTTCTCTTGTTCAATGTATCTTCACTTAATCAAGATTGTAATTATATATCTTTGGCCAGGGTCCATTGGAGACACAACAGAACTTCAGGGTACTTTTTGTATTAAAATTAGGTGAAATCCTATTTTTGGGACAACTAACTGTAGACGAGTAATTTTGATTTTCTCTTCGCAAGAGGAACAGCAGTGAGCATGGTCTCTTTGGCAACCATTATTTGGTCTCACATTTTAATGGTTAAATAGGTAAGAGGTGAAAAAACCTTGTTATAGTAAGATTAAATTTGACTGTTACAATTTAACAGGTGGTAAGTTGAATGTTAAGGTTGCAGTTGATGACTTGAAACCTGAAGAACAGAATATGCAGACTGGCATGTTGGCAACAGAGTCTGCCAGATGTCAAGGGGTTCAGCAGCCTAGGGCATCTGCTACATCAACTGCATCTGGAAGTGTGTCCTATTCACAGAAAGAGCATCTCAATGCCCTTGAAAAGGAAATCTTTCTATCAATTGTGCAAAATTATCTCAAGACCACACCACCACAGTCCCCTGAAGAGCACAGTAGGTTCATGGAATACACACAAAAAATGAAGCTCATCATTACTGGTGTTGCTGTAGGAAGTTTGGTGATAACGGTGAGGTGTGAATCTCTAATGATCTTGGAGGAGTTGTGGACAGATTACTCATCTGGTCATCTTGGTGAAGTGGTTCAGAATTGTTTTGTCACTGAAAAGATCGTGAAGAAACTGAACCTGGCTGAGCTGAGGCTGAAGACAACAATAGACATAGAAGAGTACAATGCATGCAAAGCGTTCTTTGAGAAAGATGCTCTTAGAGGTTGGTAGAAAGAATGTAACAAGGCCTGGTCCTATCATAAAATATTTGTAAAGAGTTTTGAATGAAATCCATCAGTCTTTCAACACATGGGGTATGGTAGGGTACATGTCATGAAAGGATGGGTGCAGTTTTTGATCAAGATTGATGGAACTTGTCTCTGAATAAACTCATGCTGACTATTGTATGTAAATCATGCTGATGCAAGAAGTAATTTGTCTGCAAGACATTCAATTTGATGTTTTATTCTTCTCAAACATCTCTTCCCAGTAACCTTTTATCTTTCTTACTAAGACATCTGGCTCAATATTTCCTCTCTATAGGGTTGTATTTATCTTTCCTTAATTTATTTGATTGCATCCATTAATCAAAGGCAAGACTTTTGTTGGAGGGACCATGAAAGAAAATTTTTCTAGTTTTTGCATGTTGGGTGTTTTTAAAGATAGTTTGAGGTGTCTGTATCTTTTAAAATGTGTGTCTTCTTGTAAATCTGATTTTAGATGCTTTATCCTCTGAATTCCACTCCACAAGTTCAACCAGTGAAAGTCCACTAACAAAAGAACAATGGGAAAAAAGTGAACAGAAGACAAAGATTATGGAGTTGGCGAAATTGGAAGGTGGAAAAGAAATTAAAAACTTGTATTAATTTATTATGGAAAGTTTTTGTGAACAGTAATAACAATTATGTGATAAATCTTTGAAGAATAATTTCAGTGCTATAATGTGGCATCAATAATTTAATATAATTGTACACAGTTCCATTTATGGGAACTTAACATTTGTAGAGAAGCTGTGAATGTTAATCTCTCCATTTTTTACCTGGACGCTGTATATGGAAATACAGAAACCTTTTGTAAAAGACTAAAGGCAGGTACATGTAGATAACATGCTATCATTGCATGCATGCTAGATTGCATGATTTATTTCTGTAAATGTTTTGATATGGATAAACTAGCAGTAATAGTTCCCTTTCAGTCACCATTAACTTTTTCCCACTTTCTTCCGTCTTGCAAATACATGTATGAAATTTGTCATGTTACAAAAATTTTGTGTACTGGGTACTATTTAATTGGAGGATTGGTGTGCGATTTCAGGTTTTAGGAGAAGGAACACTGGTATAGAAGCCCTCTAATACCGATGACCTGCAAGCAGACTATTATCCAATATGTTTGAAGTTTAATGTGATATTAATGGTTTCAAGTGCAGCTGAAGCACAATTTTAACTTGGACACTTTGCTCCAAATCAACAGATCAGAAATTAAACATCAAAGTTGATGTGGAACATATGAAATGTGCAGATCAAGATGCTTATAGTACAGCTTCAGTGTTAGCTTTGGAGCCAGCAGGATATCAGAAGGCATCCACAGCTTCAGGCACAAAGAGAAAAACAGAATCTGATGCAGATTTAGAAGATCTCCAACCACTCAAAAAGAAAGTATTGTGCTTAATTGCCATGAATTACCTTGATACTACACCAGCACAGAGCAGGGATGAACACAATGAGTTTAAGGAATACTTACAAGAAATGAAGGTCTTCATTACAGGTGTTTCTATGGAAAGGTTGGTGATAACAGTAAAGTGTGATTCTCTCTCGAGCTTGGAGGAATTATGGGAAGATTACTCTTGTGGCCTTTTGGATAAGATGGTACGAGATTGTTTTGTAACTGAAAAGATCATGAAGGAACTGAACCTGGCAGAACTGAAGCTGAAAACAACAATGGACATAGAAGAGTACAATGCATACAAACTGTACTTTCTTGAGAAGGATGCACTCAGAGGTCAGTTGAAAGAAAGAAAAAGGCCTGGTCTTTCAGAAAAATGTTTTGAAATGATTAAAACACAATGCATCACTCATTCAACATGGTGTACCATAGGGTTAACAGAAGTGTAAAGGGGGTCCAGGTTTTGACCAAGGTAGAACCAATTGTTTCATGACTAAGCTCATGCTGACAATATATACAATGACTATCTGCAGCTAGAAGTGATTTGTTTTCAAGAAATTTCCTAGTATATTTTCCTTTCTGTCTGGCTGTATTTATCTTTGGCTCCAAATATAAATGACATTACATTTACCATGTAAATAGGCCTTAATATTTTAAGAGTACAACTTATGGGGAAGAACTTACAACTTACTTTGATGGTAAAACTAAACCAAGAATGGTTTTAAATACATGCAGTTCTAATTCAAAATAATTTTTTTGAAAGGAAATTACACCCAATGTAGTTTTTCGTCACTCTGTGTTTTGCTAGAAGAGAATATTAAGATGATAGAAGCTATATTGGTGAAACAGTGTTTAATGATAAACTTAGTTTTTTCAGTGTTGATCTTAATGTATTTCAGTCATTTCTGTATGTGTTTCTCCAAGGGCTGGCTCTTGTCTACAGTGGCAAGGTGTCTGTAATAGTGAGGTGACCACAGGGCTAGAGTCAACTGTAGATTAATCCAAATTTGGTATTGTCATTTCTTTTCTGTCTGGTTGTATTTATCTTTGGCTCTAAATATAAATAAAATAAAACAAGCTAAAATAAAAATTGGCAAGATTTAGTTGAAGGAGCTATAAAAGAAAATGTTACCTGTATTTGTGTGTGGGGCTTTTATAAAAATGATTTGAGGTGTGTTGTATGGTTTTGAATGTCATTATTTAGTGGTTGCCTCATTATTTGTTTTCTTTTAAATCTGATTTTAGGTGCCTCATCTTCTGAATTCCACTCCATAAGTTCAACCAGTGAAAGTCCACAAAAACAAGAAGAGCTGAAAAAATGGAAACAGAAGACAAAGATTGTTGAGACAGAGAAACTGAAAGGTGAAAACAAAATTAAAAGACGTATTAAGTTATTATGGGAAGTTGTTTTGAACAGTAATAACAATTTATTATTTGACAAAGCTTTGAAGAATTATCTCAATGCAGTAATGCGGTGTTAGTATTATTTTAAGAGTACAAAATGGGGAACAACTTACAGCGCATCTGAAGAGAGGCTTTGAATGCTGATCTCTCCCTGTACTTTTTGTTCTTAGGTACTTCACCCCTCACTGTAAAACCCACCACTGGTCATGGAAAAGAACTTATAGGAAAAGCACAGGGAAGGAAAGGTGAACAGGAAGCTCAGTTTGAATTAATATCTGTAGTGAATATGTCCATTGTGTTCAGTTATTATGTCAAGTGTAAAAAAGTGTGCTTTTGGGATTAAACGTTTAAGGTTGTAAGGGTCTTTAGGGTAAAACTAAACTGACAATTATTTGAAATACTCTCAGTTCTTCATAAAAAAGATTAATTTGAAAGAAATTAAAACCCAATTTAGTTTTCCCTAAATTTTGTATCTAGGATAAATTTCATGCACTTTACAGAGATGGTCACATGACTTGTTGGTTTGCCATGTTATCATCTCTCAAATGAAAGTAACACCTTGAATACTAATATTGCTGTAAATAATGTAAAATACATAAATGTAAATTATTCCAAATATGATTGTGCCTCATTCTCTACTTATGTTAAAGGGAATTTGAGCTGGTTTGTGGAATTAAAACAATATACTGTATGTGTGTATTTCAAATAGGTGTTTTTAACAGCTTTTTTAAATCTATCCTCATAGCTACAAGTTGGTATGCTTGTTTTAAACTATTTATTAGAAGAAATGCTAATCTCCCTCTGTATACCTTTGTTTTTAGGCATGTTGCCTCTCCTTGGATCTTCCACCTCTGATCCTGAAGAAGAACTAGAAGAGCTACGTATGAAACTTCAAATTATGAAAGGTGAATGAAAAAATGCTGTTAAATTGACTTTGATGGTAAAACTTAACCAAGAATGTTATTAAATACATTTAGTTCTCAATCAAAATATATTTTTTTAAGGAAATTTCACCCAATTTAGTTTTCCCTCTCTCTGTGTTTTACTATAAGAGGATGTTAAGGTAGTAGAGGCTGGATTGGTGAAACCGTGTTTAATGATAAACTTAGCTTTTTCAGTGTTGATCTTAAATTACCTAAAAAACTGACTGTGGTGTAGTGTAGATAGATTTTGTACATCAAATACAGTCATTAATGGCATGTTGGTTTGAGCTGTTATCATGTTGCTAGTAAAAATAACACCACGAATTCCTCTTTGTACTTTTCCCCTTTAAGTTGACTCTCATTACTGTGGACACCCTCGGGGGGAGATTTAGTGTCTGTAATAGCAAAAAGTTTGTAATAATGGGATACAAGAGAAATAAAAATTTGTTTTGTTTCTTAATATATGAAATAAAGTTTCCACAAACCAGAAAAAGATCTGGCTGAGAGCAGAAATTTTCATTTTTTTACACCCAATTGAAGAATGGTTTCTTTATTTCCCTTCTTCATAATGTTGGTTCATAGTATGCTAGTTATGATTTTAGACAGAGTAAATAAGTGTCTGTTATAGCAAGAGAAAAAACAAGTGAAAAGTCATACTGGGGGGCAGGAAAGAGTCTGCATTATTGCAATAGCAAGAGTCTGTTATAGAGGGAATTTATTTCAGTCATTTCTGTATGTGTTTCTCCAGGGGCTGGCTCTTGTCTGCAGTGGCAAGGTGTCTGTAATAGTGAGGTGACCACTGGGCTAGAGTCAACTGTAGATTAATCTAAATTTGGCATCGTCATTTCCTTTCTGTCTGGTTGTATTTATCTTTGGCTCCAAATATAAATAAAATAAAACAAGCTAAAATAAAATTGGTTAGATTTTAGTTGAAGGAGCTATACAAGAAAATGCTACCTGTATTTGTGTGTGGGGTTTTTATAAAAATGATTTGAGGTGTGTTGTATGGTTTTGAATGTCAGTATTTAGTGGTTGCCTCATTATTTGTTTTCTTTTAAATCTGATTTTAGGTGCCTCATCTTCTGAATTCCACTCCATACATTCAATCGGTAAAAGTCCACAAAATCAAGAAGAGCTGAAAAAATGGAAACAGAAGACTAAGATTGTTGAGAAACTGAAAGGTGAAATGTAAAGGGAATTTGAGTTGGCTTGTGGAATTAAAACAATATACTGTATGTATGTATTTCAAATAGATGTTTTCAACAGCTTTTTTAAATCTACCCTTAGCTACAAGTTGGTATGCCTGTTTTTAACTATTTATCCATAGAAATGCTAATTTCTCAGTATAACTTTGTTTTTAGGCATGCTGCCTCTTCATGGATCTTACACCTCTGATCCTGAAGAAGAACTAGAAGAGCTACGTATGAAACTTCAAATTATGAAAGGTGAATGAAAAAATACTGTTAAATTGACTTTGATGGTAAAACTAAACCAAGAATGGTTTTTAATACATGCAGTTCTAATTCAAAATAATTTTTTTGAAAGGAAATTACACCCACTGTAGTTTTTCGTCACTCTGTGTTTTGCTAGAAAAAATATTAAGATGGTAGAAGCTAGGTTGGTGAAACAGTGTTTAATGATAAACTTAGTTTTTTCAGTGTTGATCTTAAATTATGCCTTTAAAAACTGACTGTGATGTGGTTTAGATAGATTTTGTACATCAAATACAATCAGTTAATGGCATGTTGGTTTAACCTGTTATCATTTTGCTATTAAAAGTAACACCATGAATTGTACTTTGTACTTTTCCCCTTAAGGTTGAATCCCATTGCTGTGGACACCCTCGGGGGGAGATTTAGTGTCTGTAATAGCAAAAATTTTGTAATAATGGGGTACAAGAGAAATAAACATTTGTTTTGTTTCTTAACATATGAAATAAAGTTTCCACAAACCAGAAAAAGATCTGGCTGTAAGCAGAAAATTTCATATGTTCACACCCAATTGAAGAATGGTTTCTTTATTTCCCTTCTTCATAATGTCGGTCATGCCGGATAGTCATGATTTTGGACAGAGTAAATAAGTGTCTATTATAGCAAGAGAAAAAACAAGTGAAAAGTCATACTGGGCGACAGGAAAGAGTCTGCATTATTGCAATAGCAAGAGTCTGTTATAGAGGGAATTTATTTCAGTCATTTCTGTATGTGTTTCTCCAGGGGCTGGCTCTTGTCTGCAGTGGCAAGGTGTCTGTAATAGTGAGGTGACCACAGGGCTAGAGTCAACTGTAGATTAATCCAAATTTGGCATTGTCTCATTCTCTACTTTAGCTGAAGATGGTATTGAGTTGGCATGCAGTAAAACGCCACACCGAGAGAAACAGATAACAGAAAATTTGCCGAGGTTTTTTCGACGAGGTGTCGTAAGAAGTTGTTTCGTGATGGTTGAGGAATATTCAACCATCGCAGAACGATTTCTCACAACGCCTCGTCGAAAAAATCGAGTAGTTTCTACGCACAATGCACTGGAAAGCTTACTTCTTCAACTTTGATAGGACCACTCGCTCGTAAGACATACGACTTCAAGTCTACCAAGAACCCCTCTCGGATCGACTAGTTAAAGGAATTTGTAGATGACATGCTAAAGATGATATTTACAAAACATTTTAAACATTTAGACTGAACAGTTTTTCAGTTATTCTCAACAGATTTTTTTTGGTTTTAGAGCATTTTTGTTCATATAAAGGTAATCTACCTTTACTTTTAAAAAGTAAAAAATCAAACATTTTCAACACTAGGTAAACATCACCATGAAAATTAAATATTCTAGCCATGTAAATAGCTCAATGGCATTAAATTTTTTGATATTTTTTCCAGTAAATACTTTTAAAAGAAATTATTCCCTACCTAAGATATTAACCTTTTTCTGTCTTTACTTTCATCCATAAATACTGTTAAATGTTCTCAGCTATTATTCAGCAACTAAGTTTTGGTTAGGAACATATTTTCAATTCAGGTTTGCCTCAAAATCCATAATTTCAGTCAAAGGTAGTATTAAATTAACTGTGGCATGTGATAATGAAGAAATACTTAAAGATAGCTTATTTCATTGTTCTTTCCCAAGACCTCTATACATGATATGCTTTAAATTTTCATATCAGGTGAGGCACAAAGTGCTAAATATATTTCTGTGTACCTTTGCTCTCAGGTAGTTTTCCTGTCCTTAAATTTTCAACCATTGTTCTTGAGGACACACTAGGTAGACTATGCAGGCTGCTTCAGAGGCTCAGAATGGACGGTGAATATAAAATGTTTATCGATTCATTATCAGAGAGAAATAAATCCAAGAATGCTATTAAACACCCCTGTATCAAATTATCACTTTTCAAGGGAAATTATTCCTTATTTAAAAGAACCTGTTGTTTGATTTTATTTCTATTGATGAGTGCTTCCACTTCTTCTTCAAATCATACATTTTCAAGGGAAACTATTCCTAAGTAAAGATGACATCTCCTCCTTTACAGTTATTAAGTGAGATTGCTGTCTTATACTTTTGGCTATTATGTAAAGTGTTAGCTTTTATACGGAATTTTTCTTAATTTAGTCTTTGCTAATTCTGTGCTGTATTAAGTTGGCTCTGGCTTATTATGATGAGAGAATTTTTCTAAATGGTTGATTTCAACAATGACCATAGGAGATTAATCAGAAAACTGACACAATAACTGTGCTATCACATGACCCCAACACAATGTACAGTGCTAGTTAAATGCCTGTTTTTAATCATTTATGTGAAATAAGGCACTGAATGCTAAATACAGTGTATCCTTCTCTTTTCCTTTCCTTTCAGCTACTTTGCCTTCCCCTGCACTCTTAACTGCTGCTCTTGAAGAAAAACTAAAAGAACTACTCAAAGAACTTGAGAGACAAAGAGATAAAGGTGAGTGAAACATTTGTATTGGCTCCATCGAACAGGGCAAAAGAAATATGGAAAGTGATGCAAGGAAATGGTTGCACTAGTATTTTAGGCTTGTTTTTCTAAGTAACAAGCTGAAAGGTTTTAGTTTGCCATAAAGGACTCCTAATTATATTATCTTCCCTCAAATATCTAAGTTCTGCATGCAACTTGCGAAATATCTCCACCACTCATTACATGTTAAAACATGGAATGATCTAACCCCTCCTCTTATATAATGCTATCAACCAAGAATGCTGTTAAATGCTTTATACCATTTTGCTGCCTTCTCTTAGGTAGTTTACCTCCCAATTTTTTCACTATTGAAGTAGAAGTAGACGAACTACTCAAGAAATTTCCGAAAAGGAGGATGGAAGGTGAATAAATAATGCACATTTAGAGAGAAAATAATTGTAGTAGAATGCTATTAAAATATTTCCAGTTCCTTGTAGAATTACATTACCGCTCGTGTATACATTAACCAAAAAACGCGAATAAAACGCGCCAAAAATCGCATGCAAATGCAATTTAAAAAAAATGTGCGCGTCAAAAAATTTGCACATGCGTGCATAAGCTCGATACGTCTGCCCGTTAGTATATATGAGGTAATCCTTTTGTTTTTCTATTGTTGGCGGTTTACCGTTTTAAAGAATAGGCTAAATAGAAAAACGAAAAGAAGAAAATAGAAAATAGAAATAATAGAATAGAAAAACAAAATGATTACCTCATATATTCTAAAGAGGTAGACTATCAAGCTTATGCGCGCACGTGCGATTTTTTGACGTGCACATTTTTTTAAATTCGCAATTGCATGCTTTTTTTGGCTACAATGTAACAGGACTAAAATGCTACACTGCTACCAACGACAAGAAAACTTGTTCGTTTCAATCACCGTTCTAACCGACCTTCCCGATATGCTGTTACAAACTACTGCGACTTCGTAATAGGAATATACGAATGATTTATCATTTTCCAACGGAATTCTTTAATCAAAATTTGTCACTTCTTATAAAAAAAACATCCGTCACAACGGCCTTTAGAATTCGTTCTCGGTGTATTGTAATTCGGTAGAATCAGCTAAAGCGTCCGTTTGTAACTAGTTGTCGCATTCTTAATGCAAACCCACGCGTGAACGTTTAGTTCATAGCTTTATCATCGGTGACCATGCTATTCTCGAAAACTGGTTTATTCATCGCGCCTTTTATACAATATAAGTTCTACTAGCTCATTTTAATGGTGTTGTGTTACAGTATGGTTACCTGTCACGACTACGCCTTGTTCTTATCCATATGCA